TTATTCATTTTTTTTTTCTCTAAGGAGCCTGTAAAGCGTTGCACCCGTGATCAGGGGTGCAGTGCCAGACTCCTGCAGACCAGCCCTTTGGCTTTCAGCTCGTACCTGCCAATGGGTTGACGGTTTATGAACTACAGGGCTTGTGAATGAACTATGAGACTTCTCATCAGTGACCCCGCAGTCCATTCAGGACAAGCAGCTGTCAGCCGCAAAGGCTGATGGTAGTTGTAGTTTGCGCAGTCACAAGGAGCTGACAATAAATGACATGGCCATGTAGGTGGAGCCCCGCATGGCCACGCTTTTTCAAATAGTGATGGTGGGCACAGGGAGGAGATCCCCGCTCGCTGGAACTGGAAAACTGGAAGGGGGTGGGGGTAGATGTGAGAGGCTGCAGTTGCTGGAACATGTTCCTAAATGCAGGTGTAACATGTTCCAAAAAGTGAACTTATCCTTTAATACTAGTTGCCAACCGCAGATAGCCAAATGATGGTTGCACTGCGGCTGGCCAGTTCTGGGAGGGCGTCATATGACGTCCTCCCAGAATGCACTCTCCTGCGCGCCCTCTGCAATTTCTGCCCCACCCTGCAATCTGCATGATCGTTGTGTCCTAGGGACAGAGGTGATCATGTGATGTGGTAAAAGGCCAATCACAGCGGCCTTTTACCACGTGATCATCCATGTCCAATGACACGCTGATCACCGAGAAACGCAATTGCGGGTTCTTGGCTTTCCTCACACTGTCAGAGCGCGAGGAAAGTACTGCCGAGAACCGGCAGTTGTCAGACCAGGGATCGGCACATCATCAGGGCACTGATGATCAATGCCCTGATGATCGGTGCCCAGCAGTGCCATCCACCAGTTCCGCCCAGAAGTGCCACCCACCTGTGCCCAGCAGTGCCATCAGTCAGTGCCGACTATCAGTGCCAGACTATCAGTGCTGCCTATCAGTGCAGCCTCATCAATGCACATCAGTGAAGGAGAAAAATTACTTGTTTGTAAAATTTTATAACAGAAACAAAAACTTTTTTTTTTTTAAATTTTGCTCTTTTTCTCAAAAGAAAGTTCTATTTGTGAGAAAAAAAATTATAAAAATGTCATATGGGTATAATGTTTGCATGACCGCGCAATTGTCATTCAAAGTATAACAGCGCTGAAAGCTGAAAATTGGCCTGGTAAGGAAGGGGGTATAAGTGCCAGGTAGGCAAGTGGTTAAAAAAAGTAAAATTTCTTGCATTCTGATGTGGATTTTTTTTTTCAGAGATCTAAGAGCAGGAAGTGATGTCCATGGAGAACAGTTTCACATGTTAAAATAGGAAGACAGAGTCATAATATGCTAGCTGACGTCCGCTGGAATCTGTGGCCACGTACAGCAAACATCTTGCACCTTGCAAGGAAAGAAAGAAGGAAAAAAAAAAAGCATGGGGTCTACCCTTGACAGGGGGCAGTGAAACCTAGTGCATCGATACAGATATCCTAGAGTGTTACTAAATGCAGGACCCTGCATTCACTATATCCGGTCTCCCCGGACCCCGCATTCACTATATCCGCTCTCCCCGGACCCCGCATTCACTATATCCGCTCTCCCCGGACCCCGCATTCACTATATCCGCTCTCCCCGGACCCCGCATTCACTATATCCGCTCTCCCCGGACCCCGCATTCACTATATCCGCTCTCCCCGGACCCCCGCATTCACTATATCCGCTCTCTCCCCCGGACCCCGCATTCACTATATCCGCTCTCCCAGGACCCCGCATTCACTATATCCGCTCTCCCCGGACGCCGCATTCACTCTATCCGCTCTCCCCGGACCCCGCATTCACTCTATCCGGTCTCCCGGACCCCGCATTCACTCTATCGGTCCCCAGGACCCCGCATTCACTCTATCCGCTCTCCCCGGACCCCGCATTCACTATATCCGCTCTCCCCGGACCCCGCATTCACTATATCCGCTCTCCCCAGGACCCAGCATTCACTATATCCGGTCTCCCCGGACCCTGCATTCACTATATCCGATCTCCCAGGACCCTGCATTCACTATATCTGGTCTCCCCGGACCCTGCATTCACTATATCTGGTCTCCCCAGGACCCTGCATTCACTATATCTGGTCTCCCACAATACACACAACATGGAAGTGCAATTATTTCAGCAAATATAAACTGCTAAATACCTTTTCTCATCAGCAGTTAGAGCAGTCTTGTGACTCCTATCAGTGTCCAGCAGAGCACTGGTTAAAGCTTGTGGGAGGAGTTTTATTTCTGCCCTAGGAGGATGCAGAACCCCTGACCTGTCTGAACAGCGCTGACTGGCCTTGTGCTGATTACATGCACTCTCCCAAGAAAAAAAATAAAAACCTCTTTAGCAATACACACCAAACTGAGCATATGCAGAGTGACTCCACACGATGTGTCTTATCAGGCAGATAAGAAGGGGACACTGGAAGATGGGGAGGAACAGAGAAGACAGGATCCAGCAGCATTTTTACACAATGCAGAGGATTAACCCCTTAGGTTCCACAGTGAGTAGAACAACAAGCATGTTTTACTGCATATACAGACTGATTTTACTGTTGTGGGTTTAGTAACACTCTTAGCCCTGGTTCACACTGCCGCGATTTCAGGTGCGATTTGGGAAATTCAGGTGCGATTTACCTGAAATCGGATCTAATGAATGTCAGTGTCCTAACATATGTGATTTGCTGCAGTGCGATTCCAAAAGTAGTTCTTGTATGACTTTTTCTGCAGTTTGTTGTGATTTCACATATAGACTACAATAGAAATCGCACTGCAAAATGCAATGGAAAACACAAGAAATCGTTGGGAAATCTTCATAAAACAGTGAAATTGCAAACAAAATGCATGATTTTAAATCGCATCCAGTGTGAGACAAACCTAAGTCTCTGGTCACATTGCTGCAATTTAAAATCGCACGATTTGTGTGCAATTTCAGTGCGATTTCTGAAGACTTTATTGCTACTTCTGAAGATTTTCAATGATTTCTTGCAATTTGCAGTGCAATTTCCATTCTATTCTATGTATGTAAAATGGCAAAAAAACTGCAGAAACAGTAATGCAAGAACTACTTTAGAAATCGCACTGCAGAAAATTGCACGTTAAAACACTGACATTCAGATTAATTAGATACGATTTCAGCTGTGATTTCAATTCCCAAATCGCACCGGTATGACCGGGCACTAAGGCTTGGTTCACACTGGATGCGATTTAAAATCATGCGTTTTGTTTGCTGTGTTTTCTGAAGATTTCCCAATGATTTCTTGCAATTCCATTGCGTTTTGCAGTGCAATTTCTATTGTAGTCTATATGTGAAATTGCAACAAAGTCATACAGGAACTACTTTTGGAGTCACACGTTGCAGCAAATCGCGTATGTTAAGACACTCACATTCATGAGATCCGATTTCAGGTACGATTTCAATTCCCAAACTGCACCTGAAATTGCGGCAGTCTAAGGGCTGGTTCACGCCATGTCCGCACAAAAAAAGCGCTGTGCACTCCTGTGCGATTCACAGCACATGCAAAACACATTCCTTTGGCAATCAGCAGTAGATATCAGTAATAGGTTAACGACACCCCAAACACATGATGCTAAGGCAGTGCATTTGCCTGCACCGGATTGCGTGGTACAGAATTATCCTGTAATCCGGTTGTAGTGCATTTTAAAAAGTAGTGCATGCTTTTGGTGCAGCGAGGTTTCAGCCCCTGTTCACACTGATGAGAGGTGGGAAACACAACGATCCCTGTGTCCCCTTTCCTGCACCGCATTGCAAATACACTGTGTTTTGCGATCTGCTGCGGGTGTCAATTCTAAGTTAACATCTGCACTTGTTTGGTGCGATTGGAGCTCATTAAAAAATGAATGGGCTCAAATTGCACAGGTATGAGGTGCAACTCACATGCGGTTCATAAGGTGAACCTAGGCTGAAAATGAATGGGCTTAAATCGCACTGCACAGAGCTGCATGTGAATCGCATGGGAACCGCACAGCATTTCTGTGCGATTCACATGCAGTTTCTGGGGTGAACCAGCAGTAAGCCCTGGTTCACATATGTGCGGGTGGTGCCGCTGCGGGTCCTCACGAATATCCGTGCAGCCACACCACTCGCACAGAGAAATGCGGACCCGCAGGCGAGTGCCATTAGTTCTAATAGCACGGCGCCCGCACTGGAAAATGCAGCCGTACTGGGAACCGAGGTTCCCGTGCGGGCTGCGATTTCAGAAGAAGTGCAAGGACTTCTTCCCTGCGTGTCACGGGGCACAGGAGTCCATTCAAATGAATGGGCTCTTGTGCCCGTGCAAAACGCGGCCCGTATATATGTGAACCAGGGCTAAGAAATGAGACCCAGCTTTCCGCACACCTAACAATGACTTTCATTACTATAACTTGCAATCTATAAAGCCGGGAATAAATACAAACTATTTATGGAATAACAGCATTTCCTTGTAGGATTCTCTTCACAGACGTGATAACGGCTATGTTCCAATATATTTATTATATTTGGTCATATAGACAGGTGTTTATATTAGACAACTTACCACAATTTTACCTTGACATGGTTGAGTTTAACAAATATTGTGCAAAGTACATTAGAATATTCACAGTTAAAGATTTCTTTTAAAAGGAAAATAAACTAGTTACCTCTGTAAACGGAATATACTTATTGTTTTAAAATACTTTTAGTGAGCATTAAAAAACAAAAAAACTCTTTAAAAATAGTTGACACAGACAAGCCGCAAAAGTCACATATGAAACAACATGATACGGTCTTCATACAACAATAAAATATATTTATATACCTTTTTGCATGTCTGTGGGTAGCAGTGTCAATGCTTTCATAAAAAATAAAATTGATTATAAAATAAATACATATAAAAGAGATGACACACAAAAGTTAAAGTTGATCAAGTAGCAAGGCGTTCACAGAATGCCACATTCAAAAAATTCTCAGTCTGTTTGTCACATGATAGAACTGTCTCTGAAGTTCACTGTGGAAGAGGGACCACAACTTCAACATAATTGATTGGAAAGAAACCAGATTCCCCATTGACCATGCCTTCAAACCAATTCTCATCAATTTGGTTGGTTAAAGTGATGATGTCGCCTTCTTTGAATCCAAGTTCTCCTTCATTTTCTGGGTCGAAGTCATATAGTGCTCTGCAACAGGGCTGGTCCAAATTGATGGTGGAACCTGAAAAGAGGGCAAACAAAACCTTTTTTAATGGACTGTAGGTAAGTTAGAAGGCAGCAAACATTGATGCCTGATGGGCCCAGACCAACTCTTGCAGTATCAACATTCATCAGGTAACTTTGCAATAACGGACCAATCTGTATACATGAACACATCTGTGCATATTTAACCACTTGAAGTCCAGAAACTTTTACCCCCTTCCTGTCCAGGCCAATTTTCAGCTTTCAGTGCTATCACACTTTGAATGACAATTGCGCGGTCATGCAACACTGTACCCATATGAATTTTATAGCATTTTTTTTGAGACAGATAAAACTTTATTTTGGTGGTATTTATTCACCACTGGGATTTTTATTTTGTTTGCTATATAAATGTTAATGTCCCAAAATTTAGAAAAAAGTGTTTTTTCTTATAAAATTTTGCAAATAAATAATCTTTCTTCATAAAAGCTTGGCCAAATTTTATTCAGTTATCCTTTTAGTAAAAAAAAAAAAAAAAAATAACCCAAATTAGTTTAAAACCAAAAATTATAATTTTTCGAAATTCTTTTAACATACTGTCAGCCTAACAGTACAGTGTGAACATAGTGACACTGTACCACTTGTGGGGGTGATGAAGATTTTTTTTTTTTTTTTAAACCGATTGCTTTAACACCCATAACGTCTGTAAAAGCAATAATTTCTCCTTCTCCCTGGCTGCATTCTTGCAGCCATTGAGAAATACTGTGAGAGCTGTGATTGGTCACAGCTTGTCACATGGTACAAGCCTGTTGTGAATAGCCTGTACCATGTGACCTCTGTGATCATTCACAGATTTCACACGTATTAAGCAATGATGTCAGAAGTGACATCTTGCTTACTACTGTTCATGTGATTACTGATTGGCCAATCAGTGATCACTGATTGGTCCAATCAGTAATCACTGATTGGACAATCAGTGATCACATGATCGGGACCTCACACAGAGGTCCCGTAAAACGATCGGTGTTCCTCTGGACACAGCGGGCACCAGACCACAGTGCTGCACGCTCCCAGGGAGCGCGCACAAGCAAGGAAGTGGGGAGGACATTTTTTAAAAACGGCCACCCGCCCCTGCACTGCTCCCGTCCAGCCGTTTATATACATGGGCCGGACAGGAAGTGGTTAAATAAGGCTTTTATTAACATACAGTTTTAGTTAAAAAAAAAACAAAAAAAACAAAAAAACACAATGGTTTGCATTTTTTATTACAGGCTGCTAAATCTGTAAAAAAAAATTTGTATGCAGTCAGGCAGACCTGTATACTGATAATGTATCGGCCAGCTTCAGTAGAGCCATCATTACTTTGGATTCATGGAAGGCAGCTGGTCTCTTATAGGTCCCCCTCCAGCTGCTGGAAAGAGGCACTTGGCTACTAGCACACACTTGAAGAGGGAGTGCCCTCCAGAGAAAGCCCAAAGTACATGAGTGTGGACAGACAGACAGAACATATGACATAATCCATAGAATTTTGTAAAATATAACAAACACACAGGAATGTCAGTTGCAATATTCTAGGCCTGGGCCAAATCCACCTTTTAGCACAGTAGGCTTGTGCCTACAGGTAGGAGAGAAAGCTTTCCCTGTATGGTCATCAACCACATATTCTTCCCCCAACAAGTAGAAAACAAATAGAGTTCTCACACCAGCTAATTGACACACATCAGCATTCGAAGCTGGATAGGGAGAAGTAAAAAAAAAAATATTATAAAATGATCGCAAAAAGCAAAATAAAATATGAAATAGAAAGTTTGAAATAATTTTGCAACTAATTAGCATTCTATTGTCTGCTGTCAGTTGGTCTTCATCAGGGATGAGCTCAGGCAGGTTGAACAAGAGTCCAGACCCATCTGAGCTATCCAAACAGGAAGCTGTCAAAGCCAACAACCAATCAGGCAGCAGAGGTGTTCCCCACCTCGCCCTGCAGCTGCACCTAGAACACTCCCCTTGTTTACCTGTGGCTGGGAGGGTGAGGAATGCCTCAGCTGCCTATGATTGATTGTTGGCTTTGACAGTTTCCTGGTGGGATAGCGCAAGTGGGTCTAGACTCTTCTCTGAACACACCTGCGCTCATCCCTGGTCTTGACAAATGTCATCAACACAAGCATTTCAATCACAGGACTACTACTGTGTGTAATATTCTGCATTAACCACTTCCTGTCTGGCCCATGTACATAAACGGCCGGAAGGGAGCAGTGCGGAAGCGAGTCATTTATAAACGGCCCCTGTATTTACTGCCTGTGTGCGCTCCCTGGGAACGCGTGGCACCACAATCCGGTGTCAGCAGAACACCGATCGCTGTGCATGACCTCTGTGTGAGGTCCCGATCATGTGATCACTGACTGGCCAATCAGTGATCACATGAATAGTAGTAAGCAAAATGTCACTTCTGACATCATTGCTTACTATGTGTGAAATCTGTGAATGATCACCGAGGTCACATGGTACAAAGCTATTCACAACAACCTTGTACCATGTGACAAGCTGTGACCAATCACAGCTCTCACAGTATTTCTCAATGGCTGCAACATTTCAGCCAGAGAGAAGGAGAAAATTATTGCTTTTACATCCTTTATGTGTGTAAAAGCAATCAGTGTAAAAAAAGAAAAGAAAAAAAATCTTCATCACCCCCCACAAGTAGTACAGTGTCACTATGGTGACACTGCACTGCTAGGGTGACTGTATGTTAAAAAAAAACCAAAAAAAACCCACAAATAATATAAAAAAATAAAAATGCAAAAAAGTTTTTTGAAAAATTATAATTTTTGGTTATAAACTAATTTTGTTTTTTTTTTTGTTTTTTTTTTACTAAAAAGATAGATGAATACATTTTGGCCAAGATTTATGAAGAAAGATTATTTGCAACATTTTATAAGAAAAACACTTTTTTCAAAATGTTTTGACATTTTTCATTTATATAGCAAAAAAATAAAATCCCAGTGGTGAATAAATACCACCAAAATAAAGTTTTATCTGTCTAAAAAAAAAACGCAAAAAAATTCATATGGGCACAGTGTTGCATGACCGCGCAATTGTCATTCAAAGTGTGATAGCACTGAAAGCTGAAAATTGGCCTGGACTGGAAGGGGGGGAAAGTGTCCGGACCTAAAGTGGTTAAACAGAATCTGCCAAATTTCCATAGACATTGGAAATGTAACACAGTCAATGAATGTTGCATTGTATGATTTGTACCTATTCCAGAACATTGCATATGTACCACTTGCACATGAACTTAATATAGACTGGGATCTCAATTGTTTGATAAATAGGTAGTGGATTGAAAATTAAATAAAAGATGAAATTGAAAAAATATTTATTACCTCTCACATCTTATTATTTCTAACACATTTTTTGTCCTGACCATTTTAAATATGTTATTATTTTAGTTCTAAATAATTTTATTTGAATAGGAAGGATTGTGTATTTTGTGCATTTTGTAAATGTCAATTTTTAAAATGATCACTAGAGGGCATAGATCACTTTGGCCTGTTCTAGGATATTGAAATATTGAGGCCGGTTTCCTAATAATCAGCTTAATCAAATTTTCAATATATTTATCATTTGGAACGTTCCTCCTTTCCTTTTTTTTAATTCTCATTTTTAGCAATTAATGCATTCGAGCCAAGACCAAATAATATGGACGGCGTGCACATGCGCAGAATAGATATCCTTCGTGGTATATAAGAATGGTCACTGGCGTTGCTGGCCATGCTCCATACCCCCGACGATGCCGATTGGTGGCGACACATGTTGGCCAGCGCCTAGCTGGTGACATCGCATACACGCGGAGATCGAGATTTCAGCATCTGATTGAATATGCGGTCCGATTTATTCCATTTTTGTGAGTATGTGTCTGCTTTTTATAACAACAAAAAATAGTTTTTATGATAGAACACCATTGCAGCTCCTTTGATCTTCTCTCCGGAGGAATATTGCATCTGCACAATTGAAAGGATTCCTTCTTTGATCTGTGACAGCATGGAGAGGTTGAGATGAGAGCTGGATAATACATGGATTAGTGCTGGTTGAGAGCACACAGGCGTGTATTGATCTTGAGATCAATGTGTTTGGTAAGAGGCTTATTTCATTCGGTGGAGGAATCCCAATTTCTTACTTTCAAGATCTCTTTTCACTGTTTTCACTTCACTGGAATCTGTGTTGGATTGAGCACTCATTTCTGCAATCAGTTTGTTGGACTGCACTATTTATTAATGACACAACATTATGGACTCTACTTTATAAAGACTGTACTTGATGGTTGTAGGATTGTTTATATTTTGTTAATTTTAGGTCATCAAGTTGAGAAGTGCACAAGGTGAAGGGCCATATTAATTTATATACATTTAGTATACAAACTTTTTTGGTTGCAGCACTCACATGGTTACAAGGTTTTTTTCACTAACCGCAAATACTTTTTACATATATTAGCATAAACCTTTTATCTACCGGGGCAATTTTTTTTACATTTTTTTTTCTAGAAATTACTATAAACCCCTCTAAAAAGTATATATTTTCTGAAAGCAGAGACCCTGCCTAGACAATATAATAGTAGTAGTTTGAACTTTGTTTGTTGCACAATACTTGCGCTGTTATTTACAAAATGCATATTTTCAGACAAAAATAGACTACATTGAATTTTAGAACACAAAAAAAATCATACACAATTTTTTGTTAAAATATAAAAAAAAGATTGGGTAGCTTTGAGTAAACAGTTGCTAAACATCTTAAGTCCTAAAATTATGCACGCCCACCAGGGGCAGACTGACAACTCATGGGGCCCCCGGGCAATAGGGGATCATGGGGCCCCAGTGTCCTTGCCCAAACTCAAAAAAGCCTATGAAAAAGGTACCAGGGGCATCTCATGGGGCCCCCTACTGACCCCGGGCCCTTGGGCAGTGCCCGAGTTTCCAAATAGTCAGTCCACGGAATCGCAAAAAAACAAAAAAGAAAAAAAAAAAAAAAAAAAAAAAAAAAAAAAAAAAA